CATTGCAGGCGGAGTCTTTACCGTCTGAGCCGCCAGGGAAGCCCATAAAATTTTTGTTAACTTCAGGCATGGTTGGCCAGACCTCCAGGAGCTCAAGAAGTCCCATTCCGTTTCTTATCTAAAGTACTGCCTGACTTGCTGTGCTTGTGGGTAAGCACAGAATCTGAGCAGTGTCCAGGCAGGTCAGAAGCAGGTCAGAGGCCTGCTCTCCTGCTTCTGAAGCCTGAACAAGACTTCCTCCATTTTAATTTACCTACAGGACTCTCCTGGACGCTCCCCAGTGTGATCAGGTGGCTGGAGGCAGGGATGATAGATGACTTTGGTACCACACAAGCTTAATATCACATGCCACTTCTGCTCATTTTGTTTGGGTATCCTTAGACAGTAATTTTGTCTCTGAGTTTCCGTTTTCTCATCTGTAAAATGGGAACAATAATGTCTTCCTTTCTGGGTTGCTGTGACGAAGTGAGAGTATATGTGGTTCCTGGGGGCCCCTAAGTTAACTGGATGAACTAAAGGTAGGGAAACAGCTTAATACAGTCCTCTTGCTCCCATATATGTAGATAGAACAAAACATTATCAAGAGAAGAGAGGAGGCTATGTCTCTGGCTGCACAAACTGAGAAGCAGCCTAATCTGCTGCCTCTCTGTGCCTCCTAATCTCCTGTTCCTGATAGTCACTCTCCACTAAGTGCTCTCCTGTGAGGCAGGTGAGCGCTGATGGGGACTCCGGTGGCATCTGGATGTATCTTCCTACATGCCTCTTTCCCCTCACAACTTCCTGCCCCAGCTATCTCTCTTCTGTGCATCAATGTCTTCTAGAGCCTTGCTCTAGCATCTGCATTTTTAAAAAATTCCCAGAGGATTCAACCCCAGGAGATTCATGTGGGCTGAGAAGCACTAGATGGAGGTTTAGAGCAACTCCATCTAAAATGCATGAGATTCATGGCTTTCTGAGTTTGATGGTGTTTGATACTGTTACTGAAAATTTTATCTCAAGCCACAAGAGTATATCCACATAACTTTAGGAAATTGGTATTTCATTCAAACTGGGAGGGTATATTCCTGATCTCCACCATAAGACACTAACATTGATTTGCTTTAAAAAAAAGAAAGAAAGAAGAAATCATTTTAATCAAAATACTACAGAATATTATTTTAAAGGTACATCACATTTAGATTTGTAACAGAAGATTCTTTATGCTTCTCTATTACCAGGTTAACCACTTTTAGTTTTTTATTTCTCCTTGTATTTACCTTTATGTTTCTATTGCTATTTCTTGAATATTTTTCCCCCTAAACTTTAAACTTTTCACTTTGTATTGGGGTATATTTCTTGGACTTTTATGTTTAGATTTTATCTGCAGATTTCCTGCTATAGAATTAAGGATTTAGCTTTCCTACCAGCCATCCCCGCAACATACACCAAAATACACATTTTGGGGGGAAATATACATTTCCCCCTGCCATCCTCCCAAAAGAGCTTAATCACTAGAGTCAATATTCAGTTCTTATATTATGATCATGATTATTGTTCAATTTTTTGTATTTCCTGGATTTAGCAATTATTTTGTCATTTGCTTGGTTTTTAGGAAACTAGTTAATTCAATCCCAAAGCTTCCAAATGAACTAAATATTTTGCATATGTCTAAAAACAGCAGATAATCAGTTTTATTTTCTTCTAGAGACACCCCTCCTGGAGTATCTATCTTTTGATTCTAGGCTGGGGTTGCTTGCTTTCCTTATCTGGAAACATTGCTGACATCCCAGGTCTCTCTCATCATCCCTTTCCTGTTGTTAGCCTCACTTCTTTCCTAGTTTAGTTCATTATTTTTCTGAAGCACATCCTCCAGTAGCTTTCTAAGAAAGAGTGTATACAAGGTCAGGTTTTCGAGACCTTGTTTGGCTTAAAGCGTCTTTACCCTCATGCTTAATAATTATCATGTAGACAGATATATGTTACTGCTGCTGCTGCTGCTAAGTTGCTTCAGTCGTGTCCGACTCTGTGCGACCCCATAGACGGCAGCCCACCAGGCTCCCCCGCCCCTGGGATTCTCCAGGCAAGAACACTGGAGTGGGTTGCCATTTCCTTCTCCAATGCATGAAAGGAAAAGTGAAAGTGAAGTCACTCAGTCATGTTTGACTCTTAGCGACCCCATGGACTGCAGTCTACCAGGCTCCTCCATCCATGGGATTTTCCAGGCGAGAGTACTGGAATGGGTTGCCATTGCTTCTCCAATGTTCAGTTCAGTTCAGTTCAGTTCAGTTCAGTCTCTCAGTCGTGTCTGACTCTTTGCGACCTCATGAATCCCAGCACGCCAGTCCTCCCTGTCCATCACCAACTCCTGGAGTTTACTCAAACTCATGTCCACCGAGTCAGTGATGCCATGTTACTAAGTTGGAAACAATTTTCCTCAAAATTTTGTGGGTGTTGCTTTATTGTTTTGGGTTGGCTTAGAAAAAAGCAACCAATGAAAGGTCCCAAGGGCTGGTGGCATTGGCTCTATCGTTGTTGAGCCCGCCATCACCAAATATGTCAAGGTCACTAGGCTTGAATCTTTGAATAGAGTCCCCTGGAGACAGATATGCAGCGAGACGCTTGTTCTGTCTCCTCCTCTCCTAGGGGCTGTATGGCCACGGTCCCCCTACCCCTACCTCCATCAGTTTTCCTTCAAAATATGAGAACAAGGATTAAGTTCTCTCAATTATGACCCATTTTCACTCTTGCCTCTCAAGTCACTAAACTGAAATGTGCTGGAACCTCTGTGACCATTTATAGATTATCAGTGGAGACAGGTTTCTTTTCCAGATCAATCCCTTCATACATGTTCATTCTTCTTAATTTCATTCTTGGAGGGTAACCTTAACCTCCAATTTTGGGGTTCCTATGTTGTAGCCCTCTTACAGTCACATTCTCTGTGCCATTTCTGGAAAGCCAGTATCCAGAACACCTCCCACAAACCACATTACTTCTAACACCTAAACAGTCCCTCCTACCCCACCCCCATTTAGCAGGTCACGTGGTTACCCCACTCCAGAAAGTCTCAGGTTGCTTCCTGGCAGAGTCTATCCATGCATTTCAGGACTGAAGTTCTGAAAAATCCCCCACATGAATGCCCACAGGCATCACCCTGCTCTCAAGGGAGAGAACTGGGGACAGACAGGTTGAGTGACTTGCCCCTGGACACCTAATCCTGGGAACCTGTGAGACAAAGAAAGTGGCTCTTCCTCTTTTGGTCAGCTGCCCAGGTGGTGATGGGATTAGAATGCCTCCTGGCAACCCAGATCCACACGGGCCCCTTGGGTGGAGAATTAGCAAAGACAAGAGGATGAGTCTTAGCTCTTAAATGTCAGACCTCCTTCTGGCTACACCACCAGCTAATTATGAGGCCAGGGCCAGCATTAACAACCCCTACCCCACCCCACCCCGCTTACCCCAGGATCCTACCTGGCAATAGGTCACAATGCTCCAGCTGCCCAACCAACCAGAATGACCGACCAAAGTGGGAGGAGATGAGGAAGGTTTGGTGAGTGGGTGTGTGAGGAGGGGGAGATTCCTAAACAGTCCAACTCCCCACTGCCTGAGCCTACCCTTGAGGTCTGCCAACACCCTCTCCCATGCTCCCACTCCCCGCCTTGCCCAGCACTTCCTGTAACCTCCACCTTCCTCCATGACGCACCTCTGCTTACCCAGGCCTGAAGCTGCTGTTTCTCCTACCCCAGTCCCTCCCAGGGGCATGGGTGCTGGGGAGGGATCGGCTAGTCTAGTGGGTCCATGTGTGTCCCCCTGGGACCCTAGCTGGGCCCAGGTCTTGGACAGTGTCCTAGGACTGGGGGCACTAGGGCTGACAATTCGGGCCATCTTTTCCACAACTGGCTCAGCCTTGCTGCTGCTGCTGCTACTGGTCAGCTTCCTGGCCTTCGACATGCTCCGCCGGTAAGTGGACTGCAGCCTACAGGTTGGGCAGGTGAGCAAACCATCAGCCTCCCAAAGCCTAGCTGCTGCCCTTTCTCTCCACAGGCCTGCAGGTCCCACCTGGTCACAGCACACACATCTCACTGGGGGCCAGAGTCAGGGGGCCGGCGAGGGTCCAGGGCAGCAGGAGGCTCCACCCGCGGTGGCAGTCTCAGGACGACTCAGCCTCCAGGAGGCTCTGCTGCTGCTGCTCCTGGGCGCGGGGTTGCTCCTGGGAGCCCGCGGTGTGCCCTTGGCCCTGCTTGCCCTTGCTTTTTGCCTCCATCCTTGGACCTGAGTGCCCTCCGGAAATACACTGGCCATGCTGTCTCCTCAGGCTTCCTTTCCTCCATCCTAGGTTGGGAAGATGGGAGGATACTCTTTTATCCCCCAGCCTGCTTCTCGGGGGACCTCTGGCCTCACAATGTGGACAGTGGATACCTAAGTCCGAGTCTGAGGGCATCAGTAAAATGTGAAATAAGGGGCTGGGAGCCCAGTGCAGGGTATGGAGCCATCTTAAAACTTGTAAGTTGGGGGAGGCTATTCTGGCCTCCTCTGTGATTCTAGAGAACTTCTCCTGAAAGAATTATAAGAGAGTGAAGCAGGGCTGGATACAGGCCAGCAGGGAAGGGAGGGCTCCAAAGAGGGCTTTCCACAAGACAACATGAAAGACTACATCTGTGGACTCACCAGGCTCCCCTAAAGCCTGAAGGGTCCACAAGAGAGGCTCAGGTAAACCTCACACCCAGCAGTGGTCTCCCTCTTGGCTGGCCCCCACCCTGACCCGGGTCACAATAGGGCTCCTCTGGGGAGGGTGGGGGCACTGAGAGTGGGGGCTCAACTCTGGCTGCCAGGCTGTCCTGGGTGCGGCAGGAAGCAACATGACTTAGGTGGCTCTGCCCAGAGGTAAGACCCCAGTTGAAAGCCCCACCACACCCATGCTGGTCCCTCCTGATCCCTGCACCCGCACCTGCCCTGAGGTCCCAGGCATCTCCAGGGCTGCTGCTGCAGCTGGCCTGGCCCTCTCCCTAGGTGCACCAACCACGATGCAGCAGCTACGAGTGGAGACAGATGCCATCGGGGCCGGCGAGGGGCCGCAGCGCGCGGTGCCCTGGTCAGCCTGGGTCTCTCGGGAGGGCTGGGTGCGCTGGTGCATGTGTCACGTGCCCCCGAGCTGGACCCAGTGGTGGGCTACGTCCGGCTGGCGGCAGCCACTGCAGCGTGTGCTGTGGGGTCTGGAGGGGATCCTCTACCTGCTGCTGGCCCTCATGCTGTGTCACGCACTCTTCACCACCGGCTCCCACCTCCTGAGCTCCCTGTGGCCCGTGGCGGCTGCGGTGTGGCGCCATCTGCTGCCGGCCATCCTGCTGCTGTTGCTCAGCGCCCTGCCCGCACTGCTCTTCACTGCCTCCTTCCTGCTGCTGTTTTCCACACTACTGAGCCTCATAGGCCTCCTCACCTCCATGTCTCACCCAGGCAATGCTCAGGACTTGGACCAATAGAAGGGCAACCCCATCCCGCTGCTTGTGTCTGTTGAGCCCTGGCCTAGGGCCTGAGGCCCAGGGGAGAGGGAGGGCAGTGGGGCCAGGGCCTTTCTGTGTCAGCAGGCCCCCGACCTACAGTCTAGCTGGGTTTGGGTGGGACATGGGTGTTATTGCTGGAGCTAGCAGGATAGACTGGCCTGACCTCTGGGCACCTCCCTCAAGCTGATGCTGCAGATACTTGGTGTGGAGGGCCAGAAATTTTGAGAAGAGATGTTAGGGCAGAAGGCTCAGCCAGGAGTGGAGCTTGGCCAAGCCATCAAGAGTTTCCACATGCATGTGCTGATGCTACTGGGGTCCCCTTAGCAGCTGGCAGCATCTTTTTCTTGCAGCTGCTCAACTGTCTCAGCTTTAGACTCATAGCAACTTCTACCTGTATTTACCATTCCCCCCACCAACCGCCTCTTTTCACTTGCCCAGGCTCTAGAAAGGGCTCAATGACAAAATGTAGCTGGGAGAGGACTAGCCAGAATCCTCATGAGACCTCAGCCTTCACCTTCCAGATGTTTCTGCCCAAGCATTCCCCACTCCCTAGACTTCCTACCTCCTGCCTCATCCACATCCCCAAGTCTGGGAAATGAGCCAACCAACACAGTGAGTTTCTCAGGGAAAACTTATTCTTTAAGACTCCTGAGGTTTGCTATGGAAAAACAAACAAGAAGTCCCATTTCACCCACCTGTGCAGTGTGTGACCTTGGCCAATTAATTATTTTGAGCCTTGGTATTAAGTGGGTCCTGTCATGGAGCTGCTGTGAGTCAAAGGCAATAATAACTGTGTGTGAAGTACTTTGTAAAGACTAGAAAACTGTAAGATATTGTATGGAACTATAAAGAGCAGAAAGCTTCTCTAGGCCTTCAGAGAAATGTTCTGTCCTGGATACAGTTTGGACCCTACAATGGTAAACGGAGGATGGATGAGTGTGAACAAGAGGTATAATGTCGTATGCCCTGAAATCTCAAAATATCCTGGTGTTGAACTCTTCTGACTGTGAAATGCTCAGTGGGGCTTGGTGCCGGGAGATGGCTTGCACAGCCATGTGAATGGGGAAAACATAGCCCATGGGTTTCTAAAACCAACCCAACAAGCTGTTTACAGCACCAGCAGAGCCTTGGAAGGTGGCATCCCTCCAAGGTGGATGCCCAGGATGCTGGCTTTTCACATCTCAGCTAACCCTCCAGACAAAACAGTGAGTGATTAGTCACTACAAGTAAGATACATAATAGGTAAGACCCACCCACCTGACCCCCACCTAACACCAGGCCTTACTTAATCCTTTACCCTCACCAATTCCTATCCAGTCTTGATCCCACTACATACCTCACCTTAAAACCCTCGCTCCTATATCCCTCAACTAAAAGCCTCCTCTCTGGCCACCTAAATACTCAAGCCCTGTGAACCAGCCCCTAGAACCCATGTTCATTTTTGCTAAAACCCATTCACTGTGGAGTTTCATAACCCTGAGTGCCACTGATCAGATGCCCTCAGTATCAGCTCTTGAAACCCCAGACACAGTCCTTCCTTCCTTTTTCCTTCCTGTTCTCCCTGAAATATGGTCTGGTAGCAAGGTCAAGGCAGGCCATGGAGGTGGAAAAGCGTCATAGCTATCATGGGCTCTGGTGTATTAGCTCAAGCTGGGTTTGAATCCCAGCACTGCCACTTTCCAGTCCCACAGCTTTGGTAAAAATTGCTAACCCTTCTTGAACTTCATTTTTCTGTTGGTTAAAACAAAGGCAAGCACACCTGTCCTGGGGCACCCATGGGGCATCTGGTATGTGGCAAAATTCCTGGGCTGACTCCTCACACTACAAACTGTAGTTATGCTATTACTATTCCATTTTAGAGATGAGAAATCAGGCTCAGGATAGCTACTTGCCTATGGTAAGGTCAGGTTGTTTGAGTCCTAGTCCAGCCTGACAGGCTACTAAAGAGAAAGCAATGAAGGAAATATAACCTCACTGAAGAGCCCAGGGCTTCTCAGTGCCGGTTCTTTAAGCTCCTGTCAGAGATGAAGCCCGGATGCCAATCTTGGACCCATCGCTAACATGGCTGTGCGTTGTTGGCCAGGGATATCACTCTGGAGCCTTAGGACCGTTCTAATTGAGAGAGGAGGTTTTGGCCCAAACCAGACACACTGAGGGGCAGGAAGCCGTCTTCCCTTCCCCATGTAAACGTATATCTTCTACCCTCCTGTATTGCTGGTGTGAGGTAGGGTGGCACAGGCAGGCCAGAGAGCAAATGGGCAATACCTATAAAATTAGATCAACACATAGCCTGTGACCCAAAATGCTATGTGACACATAGCAACCCAAGAAGAATTCTCACAGAGGCCCAAGATGGTCTTGCTCCTCAAAGTGTGGTCCCAAAGTCAACAGTATCAGCATCACCTGGAAACTGGCTACACATGGAGAGTTTCAAGCCTCACCCCAGGAGTCATGAATCAGAGCCTGCATTTTTAACAAGACTCCCAGGGGATACACTGGGCAAAGTTTGAGAAGCACTGCAGGTGAGGGAATATGTTGAAGGGATACCATCTGAGAATGGACCACTGTGGAGATGAGGCAGCAGTTAGAAGTGGTGGAAGTTATACAGATTGATCTTGAAATCCCAGCGTTGAGTGAAAAATAGCTGAACGAGAAATAACAGAATTCTTTTCACACAAATTTAAAATGCATGGCAGCAAAACCAGACACTTAAAAAAGAAAAAAAAGAATGGAATGGCCAACTCTAGAATCAGGCAAATGGGACAGAGTATATAGGTAAAGGGAAAGTGAGGAACCTGGCAGAGAGGAAAGAAAAACATAATTCCTGAAATTACTTTAAATGTAGACAAAGTTATCCATTTAAACTTAAATCGCTTAATAATGCAAGCCTGGGGAGAATGAACACGCCGGAATGAAGCTCTAAGCCTTTCCGTTTGGGCCAAGAAGCTGTTCCACAGGCCTGAGTGACCAGGGCTTCTTTGCGGGCCCGACCCCGCAGCATGCTCAGGTAAGGTTGGGGTAGGGGTGGGTGGGGATCCAGTAACTTCTGTAGCCTGGCCAGAGAAGTAAATCCGATCAGGCGGAGCATAAAGAACCGGAGCGGAGGAGGTGTCAGCCGCGAGGGGTCTTGCATCTGAGAAAGTGAGACAGGTTCCACAGCCGCACACGCACCGTGGGGGGCGCCTAAGAGCAGGAGCGCCGGGTAAGACTTTCTTCTGCCCCAAGGACCGGGAGCAATGAGTAAGAGCGGCCAGGATGCGGGAGGGTCCCAGAGGACGGTGTCACGGGAGCTCACAAAGCTGGGGGCGCCACTTCAGCTAGAGGTGTGAGTGACCACCCTGGTGGGAAAAAGAGTGATCCCTGGAAGGGGTCAGGGCGGCGCCGGGGAACCGCTCTGGACCTGCTACGGGGAGCCGGGAGGGGGCGCTCTTACCCAGACGCGGCTCTGAGTGCGCTAGAGGGTGAGCAGAGGACCCTGCTCGCAGAGTCTGTGGCCACGAGCCGGGGCCGTGGGGGCGGTGGGGCGCGGGAGGGGGCGACTGGGCCCCGAAGGGAGGAGAAAGGGGGGTGGGCTGCGTTGCTCTGGGAGGTTGCCCCAGGTGCAGGGGCCGGGTAAGGGGCGCATAGGCTCAGAGGCACCGGAGAGGGTCCGGACAACGGCTGGAGAGCTCCAAGCTGGCGCGTTGACCGTGGAGGCAGAGAGCGGTGGGCAAGGGCCTGATGTTGGGAAGAAAATCCCAAGCCTAGCCAGAGATCAGAGGGCTGTGGGCACCCACACAGGGAAGTGCCAGCTATCCCCGTAAATCAACACCTTCCCTCCACCTTCACCCCCCGCCCCCGGAATCATAGCCTGCAGACTCGATGCCAGGCGTGCCCCCCTGGCGGAGACCTCCAGCTCTGATTTCGAAGAGTCAGACTTGGCTGCGTGTGGGACGGAAGCGAAGAGCAGGAGACGTGTCTCACGGCCGGGTCCTAAAACCAGCAGTGGTTGATCCTGGGGCCAGGAAGGAGCTTCTCCCGCCCACTGTCTTCACAGCGGCGCCTTCATTGACTACAAATCTCTTTAACCCAAATCCCTAGCCTGGGTCCCCTAGCCAAAAACCCAGAGACAGCAAGGGCAGAGCTGAGAATCCTGGAGAAGGAAGGGCCCACTCTCATGAGCTTCACTGCCCCCGACTGCTGTTCTAATCCTAGTCTATTATTCCATTCTTCCTAGGGTAAAGAGCTGTATTTTGTGAGGTTCTGTCAGGATCTAGATGTACATCAGCCCACTTTGGACAAGTCATTTTCTGCGGTGCCAACATCTCTATTACCTTTCAGACATTTTCATCTTAAAAATAAAGAGGTGTAGCTTTTACCATAGTTTCTGGCCTGTGTCTTAAATGTCTAACAAAAATACAGTTTTAAAAAACTGATATGTGATACTGTGTACTTAAAAATATTTGTAACATATATGAAAGTTGTAAAGCCCTCTAAGCCCAAAGATACCACCTCTGTCTAAAAGCCAGAAATAAGAGCTTTCTTCATGTTCATCTGATTTGTACCAGCTGGAATTCCCAGACAATGACATATGGAAATACTGCTTGCTGGTACCTTTGACTTGATCCTGATTTTGAAAGAACTGCTTCTAAGTTTCCACCATTGAGAATTACTGTAAAGTTTTGATAGTTCACCTTTATCCAGTCAAATTCCTTCCTATTCCTAGTTTGCTAGCAGTTTTGATCATGAGTGGAGGTTGAATGATAAAAAATTTTTTGCATCTACTACAACAACTATTTTGCTCAAAATTCTCCAAGCCAGGATCCAACAGTACGTGAACCGTGAACTTCCAGATGTTCAAGCTGGATTTAAAAAAGGCAGAAGAACCAGAGACCAAATTGCCAACATCCGTTGGATCACTGAAAAAGCAAGAGAGTTCCAGAAAAACATCATCTACTGCTTTATTAACTACACCAAAGCCTTTGTGTGGATCACAACAA